AAGCTTAGGTGTGATTTCTACCAACGAATTCGCCGATTCTTGAGATACACAATCTATGAGGATCATGCCCACCCGAAAGTGTATCCCCGCAAAACGCAGCTGACCCACATTTTGTAGATCGTTGTGTTGCGATCCGATCGCCACTACTTCGTCCAATATGCCCTATTCTAGAGACGTTTGCAGGTCGGCGGTCAGAGCAACCTCTGGGAAATCCATGGCAGCACCGCCATTTTCACTTGTCCAGCAATAGCGGCAAAGCTGGTGATACGTCCTTGCTTGCCTCCCGGTGATGGACGGCTTTCCATCCTGGCTTTTTTCTCTCCCTGCCGGAGAAGAGGTCTCTTGTGTTTTGATGGAGATGAGTCAGGTTGTTTCTTGGTTTCTTTACTCTCCTCTTTTCGAAGGAGTGTTTTCGCTTTTGCTTCCTCTGGAGCAAGTCCTTCGTGGAGCAGTTGGAGGTATCTCCATGCTTCTGCTCCGCTAAGACCTATTCTCAGAGGATCGTCTAGCCCGCCTGGTTGATCCAGGCCAGGTAGACGAAACGGTAGCATGTGTCGCTTATTGGGTCTAGAGGTAGGCTCCCGACCCTTGCTGGAGAAGGTAGTAGCTTGTGCGCCACTTATGGAGGATGATCCCAAGCATGTGCCAGCCGCCCCTCTTGTAGTTTCCTTTAGATTTGGTCCCTTGAAACTTTCATTTTTGTAATGTTGCCAGTGCTTCCCCACAGTTTCACCGGTGGTGTTTTTAATGCTAGATCTCATAGTGTTCCCACGAGTCGCTAGGGATAGTCGATCCACTTCTACAAAGCCCCGCATGTAGAAGTAGGGGATAAATACAATAGGGTGCCCCCTGGTGCCCCAAGATTGAGGCCAGTAATGGCTAGTCTCTATCTAGCTACGCATCCCTTTGACCTGGTCCCGCCATAGTAGAATTTAGGTTTTTGGTGAGGTTGTCTCATCTTGATCCAGGCGGTTAAGCCAAGACCCCCCCCACACACACACACACACCCTCTGAGACATGACAGTAGAGGGTGCCTGGTATGACGGACAGGGGTTAGTTCCGGCATCGTTGGTGCAATTCCCTGGCCAAGACACTACAACCAGGAACAAGACGATGAGTAAGATGCTTGTTAGACCAAACCAGGCACTAGGGGGATTCCCCCAGCACCTGGCCAGGAGCTTCCCCACCAACGACAAGGTCTTGCATCTCCTAGGGGAAACGGTATATGTTTAGTGGCATAATAAATAATTAATGTTATATTTCGACGGTAATGTGTAGAGTCTGACGGTCTTCTAACAAACTCTAAAAGCGAATAAAAATGTTGCTCTGATTGCTTAAATAAACTTTCCTTAACGCTTTCTGTTGCGTATCAGTTAAAACGCATCTTTTTCTTCTTCCTTTTTCGTTCACTTTCTTTTGCAACCGAGAAAATCTTTTAACGGGAAATTCATCCCGGCATCGATACCGCCACCCAAAACGGATATATTTTTTCTTTTCTCAATGTGCGTCCAATTTCATTGCTAAATCTTGCGTGAACTAACCACATTATCACGCGGAACTTGACACTTTTCCCTAAAATTAAAAAAGTTAGAGAACTCATATATCAAAGTTCAGGGGCGTGCCATTTGAAACTTATCATTGATAATATCTAAAATGCGTAATCAAGTGATTAAAATGTTTAGTTTAGAATATCTTACTGGCTAAATTACCGACGGGCGGCGGCATAGACAAGAATACCGCCAAAAAACGAGCAAAATTTTTCAATTACGGCGATTTTTGTCAAATATAGATACGGTACATTTTTTTAAATAGCATATATACCGCCCTTATTTTGTTTTGCCAACGTACATTCCGTCATCAGGTACAGTTGTAAAAATAAAACCACATTTTATTGCAGACAAAAATAAACATTTTTGACATGTTAGATGCAAAATAAGCAACCAACGAACACTAAATTTATACAACTTCGGCAGCATATTCTGTACATAAAAATAAGTAAAAAAGTTCGTATAAACCTATACCCTAAAATGCTTTGTTTCGGAGATACAGGTTGTAAAAGTTTCATTTTTATTTTAATTTTTAGAGACATTAGGACATTAACTAAAAACAACATAAAAAAATAAAAACCTAAAATACAATAGTAGTAATTATTCGTCTGCATTGTTTACTAAAAACTATCATTTTTTCCGCCTATTTGTTTGGTATGTATATAGTGTTAGAATAACTTAATCAGATTTTAAATTTGATTTTTAACTTTTATTGGATTATGTAAATATTTTTCTATCTCTAGTATTGATAGTGTTAGAGAACGATTGAGCAGTCAATTGAGTTGAAGCAGCTGGTTTCACAACTCTTTGATTCATGCAAAAATTCTTGATGGAAAAGGGACCATTTCTTGATTAAAGAGACTTTTCTTAAACCAATAGCGAATACTATTGACTCAACTAAAATTTATTTTGATCTAAGAGAAGTCTATACATCACATACAGGCATATTACGAGGTATATTATTTTCTGATAACTTTAGGTTTTCCTGGTCTGTAGTAAGTAAAGTGATATTATTTTCCTCGATAGTAGTTATTTCTGCTTCTTCACTCCTTGGTATTTTTTGGGGTGGTTCATCACTCTACAAATTACAAAAAAATGTTACATCACGATTAATCAAAGTAAAGCAAATAAATTATTAAAATTATAAGCTTTGGTCACATTTTGAATTTTTTAATACGACGACTTGAAATTCTAAAATTTTTGTAACTATTTGCATAAAAAAATCGATACCTATATTCTTATTCTATCTATAGTCATACATGCATGATCTAAACAGGTGCATTAGGTAAATGTCTCTTACCTTCAAATATAGCAAATAAGTGCTCTAATTTTCATTTTTCCAGAAACTTCTTTAAAGAATCCATATATCCTAAAATTTGTCCATAAAAAATGACAAATGAATGTTAATAACGATCACTAATTAAGTTATACGATATGCGCTTAAAAAGCAAATTCTGATGCAAAATTCCAAGTGGAAAAGTCCAAGCAACAAAACCCGTGCGTACTATGATGTGACCTATGAAATGCGACGTACGACTGATCGGACTGCCGACTGATTGTATATGTATACCGTCCTTCGTCATCGTCTTTGCGTGTCGTTATTATTTTTCATCAAAAGAATATTTAGCTATTGGAAAAATGGCCATGTTTCTTGAATGAAGTACTTTCTAGCGTATTTTTCTTATTATCTTAAAACAAAGTAACTTGCATTTAGTTGAATGAAAATAGATTCAAGAGAAATTTTCGAATTTTTCAAGAGAACCAGTTTTCTTGAGTTAAGAGAGTTTTTCTTCTGGCAAAATATTTTCTTTTACGCTAAAATAAATTTCTTTAGTTCAAGTCTATCTTTTTTATCAGTGTATGGATATAGTACAAAATATTATATTTTCTTTCTTTATTTGTGAATTTGGCTATATTGTTTTTGTGGATATAGAACAAGCTAATTCTGCATAAAAGAATGGTGTATGTAACTCATTTTACCCCAAAAGTGGATATAGAACAACCTAATTCTACACTGATAAAAAAGATAGACTTGAACTAAAGTCGTCATCGTTCTTAAAAAAAAATTAATGACAAGAGAATTTATTTTAGCGTAAAAGAAAATATTTTGCCTGAAGAAAAACTCTCTAAAGTCAAGAAAACTGGTTCTCTTGAAAAATTCGAAAATTTCTCTTGAATCTATTTTCATTCAACCAAGTGCAAGTTACTTTGTTTTAAGATAATAAGAAAAATACGCTAGGAAGTACTTCATTTAAGAAACATGGCCATTTTTCCAATAGCTAAATACTCTTTTGATGAAAAATAATGACTCGCAAAGACGATGACGAAGGACGTTATATACAATCAGTCGGCAGTCCGATCAGTCGTACATCATAGTACGTACGGGTTTTGTTGCTGGGAATTTTCCACTTGGAATTTTGCATAATTTGCTTTTTAAACGCATATCGTATAACAAATTAGTGATCGTTATTAACATGCATTTGTCATTTTTTATGGACAAATTTTAGGATATGTATATGGATTATTTAAAGGACTTTCTGAAAAAATGGAAATTAGAGCATTTATTTGCTATATTTGAAGGTAAGAGACATTTACCTAATGCACCTGTTTAGATAATGCATGTGTGACTATAGATAGAATAAGAATATACGTATCGATTTTTTTATGCAAATAGTTACAACAATTTTAGAATTTCAAGTCGTCATATTAAAAAATTCAAAATGTGACCAAGGAGTGAAGAAGCAGAAATAACTACTATCGAGGAAAATAATATCACTTTACTTACTACACACCAGGAAAACCTAAATTTATCAGAAAATAATATACCTCTGTATATGATGTATAGACTTCTCTTAGATCAAAATAAATTTTAGTCGAGTCAATATATAGTATTCGCTATTGGTTTAAGAAAAGTGTCTCTTTAATCAAGAAATGCCCCTTCTCAATCAAGAATTTTTGCATGAATCAAAGAGACTATTGTTCTTGTAGCAAGAACTTCTTTGCATATTCATTTTGGGTCAAGAGTGAAATACTTTGAACTGATAGATTCTTCTATTCTCTAAAGTATTTTTTAAAGCTTATGAAAAGATAGTTAATGCTTTGGGCAAAGAAACGTCGTTCTGAAAAGCGCCAATCTTTTGGGTCAAAGTCATATTCATTTCGACTGAGAGATCCTTTTTTTCAGTGTAGGGTGACGATATGTAAACCTAATATGGCGCATAAGGTGTTATCGGAAAACTGGTTATTTTTTCTTTAACCAAATTGAATGATATAAAATAATGTTTAACCAACGCTACTGGCAGACACCGCAAATCCAAAAAAAGCCATTCACACATCCATAAGAGACCATCTTTTCCCTCAAAAAAAAAACATACAAAGAGCGCGCGCAATGCCATACCACCCGTCGTCACACGAATTATTATAGCCCTCCGACTCCAGAGTGGTTGGTGGTCTCCCTCTGCCGCTTATTTCTGCTCTGTATGCGTCGCGACGCGCACCGACGCCCTCACGCGCGCTTCTCTGGCGACGCTAATAAAGACGCCGGCCGTCGCTAATCCTCTCTCTACGTCACTAGCGTCTGTCTCACCGCGACTAATTAGACTATTGTCGGACTACGGCCGGACCGAAGGAAAGGTCGCATGGACATGCGGCGAGCGATAGACGGGCCGGGCCTACGTTGTTGACGGACAGGCCGTAGGTGATGTGACACCGAACATGTGCGGATTGAAAGTGCGCGGTGGTGCTTGGAGGTGTCTTATGGTTTGGAGTTTGTTGTCGGTGATTGAAGGTGAGTAATTAGCATAATTTGGGCAAAAAACGTATGCTATAAAGTTCGCAACAAATGGATTTTTTTATGAGTTACTGGAAGAAGCTGATAGGGATTTGTTTTAATATGCCTAATAGAGATGACCAAAACTGCGATTTGTAATTTATAAGTCGCTGTGACTGTAACCTGCGATTGCGATTTTAATATTTTTAAATACGCTGTGCGCTGTATAGATAATATACAGGTCGCTACAAATTCGAGGTACGACCATTAGTAACTCGGTAACCGTAATTTTTTAGATACGAACATGGTTAAATTGGGGCAAAGTTGCGCTTTGGGATGTTCACCAAGATGTCATAAAAAAAGTTTTAAAAATTTCAAGGATTGCTGAGTTTTTGGGAAAAAACGGATATTTTTGAAAATCAATTTTATTTTTTCCTGTCGATGCTTTTTAAAAAATCAAAAAACTAATTGCACTTTAGCCACTTTATTAGGGCTATCTGGTAATATTTTTCGATTTTTAAATCAGCTGATAATTTGTGAGATACAGAGGCCAACTTAATTTTTTTAAATACGGAGCTGCATTTTTTATATCAGATTTTGAAAGAACTCGCTCTCCTGAGTACAAAGATATGCCACACTTAATATTTTTTTTGTTTTGGAAATTTGGACACAATTTATTTAAACCAATTTCAAGTCCGGCTCTGTTATTTTAATATTTAATATATTCATCGTTACAATATTGATAAACTTTCAAACTTAACAGTGACGTGGGTTGAATACGGAAAATCAAAAGGTTTTCGAGATACCAATACTCGTACCTCGAATTTGTAGCACCCTGTATAACAAAATATAGTAATAAGTTATCCAATATTAACAGAGGTTCCTTACCATAATCTATGTCTTCTAGTTAATAAAGAATAAAAAAATCATCGATATCATCATAAATAATTAAATATATAGTTAAGCACTCAAAAGTAATGAAATACTTTCCTACTTGGTATGCAATATACTAATCCATTGTCATTTTATATTTTAGATTACAAAATGCTATCTCCCATATTTAATCTTGCGTTTGGGCATAATTACAGGCATTTATTTTTCCTCTATAAATAAACTTTTGTTTTCTTTTTTTTTATTTGAAACAATTTGACAATTGTGCCCTTATGCCTACAAGTAAAACAATTAGGCCCAAAAAGAACAGAAGCAAAAATAAATAATGTTTTTTCGAAGGCTATCCACTTTAAAGGATTCGAATCGCTTTTATTTCTCCATTTGCAACTAATTCACGTCATTTACTCTTTCCATTAGTGAATTTAATCTTTTTTTTTTCTTTAATTCTGCTAACGAGGCCGTTTTCTAATGATCTCAGGAGAAAGTAATTCTGAACGCGAATTATTGAAAGACCACTAAATTATTATTGGACGAAAAATATGCTGATTTAGAAGAACAAAATTGTTCAGAAAATGTTTAATCAAGACCAAAAAAAAAATTTAACTCAATTAGCTATAAATAAACACTGGTTATTGACGATTTCTTTTTAGATATAATGAACCATTTTCGAGCTAATTTAAGTCAGAAATTTAAAAAACGGGGTAACAATACTTGGAAATGATTTTAACCTGTAGAAATAATGTGTGAAATATAATTACTTTGAAAATGTAATACATACTAATTTAAAATTATCTTTATCTTATGGTACCTAACATTAAATAAAATAAAATTTATTATGAATTTTGTTAAGTATTTGATTTTTGTGTATGTGATCTCTTCATTAATATAGAGAGAGTAGGCCTATTAGCTATTAGTATTCATACACACGTATCTAAAGTAGAAAATAATCTATAGTGTGTAAATTAAGTAAAAAATGTAAACTGTTGTTTACGTTCTGTTTAACTCCCCCCCCCCCTCCCATGCAGTGTTGATCTTTAAACATAGTTTAATATAATTTGTGATGCAGTTGGCTCCAAATCAGTGTTATTTATATGTTACTGCGCCTTTACTATTATATATTTCTCTGAAGGTTAAACAGTTGAAATACAGTACAGTAGTGTTTTTTTTTTGGTCTTCATTAAATATTTTCTGAACAATTTTTTTCTTCTAAATAAGCATATTTTTCGTTCAATAATAATTTAGTGGCCTTTCAATAATTCGCGTTAAAGATTTCAGAATTACTTTCTCCTCTCGAGATCATTAGAAAACGGCCTCGTTAGCAAAATTAAAGAAAGAAAAAAAATTAAGGTCACAAATGGAAAGGGTAAATGAAGCAAATTAGTGGAAAATGGAGAAATAAAAGCGAATCGAATACTTTCAAGTAGATAGCTTTAAAGTAATAGTTATTTACAGTACAAGTGTGTTTATGAACATGATTACAATGAGTGTGAACGATTAGAACGACGAAGTCGTAGACCGAGTCGTTTGGTCTGTCTGTCTGTCTGTCTGTCTGTCTGTCTGTCTGTCTGGCTGTCTGGCTGTCTGGCTGTCTGGCTGTCTGGCTGTCTGGCTGTCTGGCTGTCTGCCTGTCTGCCTGTCTGCCTGTCTGCCTGTCTGGCTGTCTGGCTGTCTGCCTGTCTGCCTGTCTGCCTGTCTGCCTGTCTGCCTGTCTACCTGTCTGCCTGTCTGCCTGTCTGCCTGTCTGCCTGTCTGCCTGTCTGCCTGTCTGCCTGTCTGCCTGTCTGCCTGTCTGCCTGTCTGCCTGTCTGCCTGTCTGCCTGTCTGCCTGTCTGCCTGTCTGCCTGTCTGCCTGTCTGCCTGTCTGCCTGTCTGCCTGTCTGCCTGTCTGCCTGTCTGCCTGTCTGCCTGTCTGCCTGTCTGCCTGTCTGCCTGTCTGCCTGTCTGCCTGTCTGCCTGTCTGCCTGTCTGCCTGTCTGCCTGTCTGCCTGTCTGCCTGTCTGCCTGTCTGCCTGTCTGCCTGTCTGCCTGTCTGCCTGTCTGCCTGTCTGCCTGTCTGCCTGTCTGCCTGTCTGCCTGTCTGCCTGTCTGCCTGTCTGCCTGTCTGCCTGTCTGCCTGTCTGCCTGTCTGCCTGTCTGCCTGTCTGCCTGTCTGCCTGTCTGCCTGTCTGCCTGTCTGCCTGTCTGCCTGTCTGCCTGTCTGCCTGTCTGCCTGTCTGTCTGTCTGTCTGTCTGTCTGTCTGTCTGTCTGTCTGTCTGTCTGTCTGTCTGTCTGTCTGTCTGTCTGTCTGTCTGTCTGTCTGTCTGTCTGTCTGTCTGTCTGTCTGTCTGTCTGTCTGTCTGTCTGTCTGTCTGTCTGTCTGTCTGTCTGTCTGTCTGCCTGTCTGCCTGTCTGCCTGTCTGCCTGTCTGCCTGTCTGTCTGTCTGCCTGTCTGTCTGTCTGTCTGTCTGTCTGTCTGTCTGTCTGTCTGTCTGTCTGTCTGGTCTAATTTAGCTCATAAAATTGTATAAGCTGTACAGGCAAGCACTTCGGAGCTTATGTGTTCTTATCAAATACTAAATAGAAAATTTAATAGGAAACTTCTTGAATTTAAGTCAATAATTAAGGAATACAATTTTCATCGATTTTAATCTATATCTTATACAAGCAACACAATTTTATGTGGTTGAACAAGTTTTTATTTTGACTTGGCAAGTATGTTTAGTCAGCAGTTAATTTTATGTTTCTTTATTTTTAGATGCATATTAATTTTTAAAATTCATATTTCAATTTTGCGAGTAGACGACGCGACAGTTCCTGACCAAGGATAGATAGAGTGGTAATACCACGCGTGCAACAAATAATTACGATAATAATAGAATTAATTGCTTGTGTACTTTAAGTACTTATCGACATAAGTATATATGATCTAGGATTTTTACCAATTTTTACGTGATATAGGTGATTATATAAGTAAAAATATTACAGGAAACTCTACAATGTAACCCATTTATTCCTCTGGATAATTTAGGAACAGAAGTTTGCTTTACAACAGTTTCCTTGTCTCACATGTAATGCTGAAGTATAAATAGTTCTTAGTTTAATAATAGCCTTTAGATTTATTAATCTTTTAACAATGACATTTTATTATAAGGAGCATGGTTTAGAATAGCATTCAAGGGATATAAATCTGAATAAAAATAATATTGTTTATCTTTCTTTTTTGTAAAATATGTCGGGAAATGGAACATTTTTTCGATTTTTCGTTGTGACAGATATAGGTAAAATCTACAGAAAAAATATAGGACAAAACATATAACACAGTATAATATTAAATATATCTTAGATCATGTATTATCTATAATTTAGGATGCATTTGTATATGACCTAAGAATCTAATAATAGATATAATGAATATTTATGAAATGAATAAAGTTCAAAAATCCCAGGGTGTGTCGTTTAGAAATTAAAAGTTGTAGTCAGTTCCGGTAAAACACGAAGTGCCCAAAAGCAATTGAATCGGCTACGTCTCGTTAAAAAATCAAGTATCGATCACAAAGCTAGCACTTCGCGCACTAGATACAAAAATAACTATTTTTTGTCTGAAAAAATGAAAGTGTTTTCAATGAGACAAATGAGACACTATTGGGACGTACCCAGTATATATTTTTAGTTCAGTGGATTTTCCATTAAATTTCCATTATATATTGGAAGCCTCGGTCACCCCGTATAATAATTGTTTATACATCTAATGTGCTATTTAAGTAGATTGCATGGCACAATACAAAAAATAACTGCATGCTTACTACTTTTGTTAATGAAAATATCTGATATGAGATTACACAAAAACGCATATGGAAATTTTGGATATTTTAAAATTCACCACAAAACAAGAAAAACCTCAAACAAGCCTCCAATTCAAAATTCTGTTTAATTTGTAAAGCGCACTGTTTGTCAGAGCCAGAAAATATCTAGTAATCATAAAATGAACATGGCGAAATGAAATGATATTAATGCGACCGATTCGACAAAACAATGAAAGTTCTGGTTGGTTTTGCCGTAAATCGATTTATCTGCGGTAACAATAAAAAAAAATCCTCCAGAGTTATTTTACTTTGTTATCACCATATATTTTTTCGAGCTAGTTTTG